GGATAAAAAAAGGCTACTAAAATTAATAGATTAGGGAGTACGTTGAATGTGAAGGACGATGGTATGAAGTTAAGTGAGGACTAATAATACATGATTGAGAGATTGGAGGAGAAAGATGGTGCCGAGCCGCCATCCAACAGAAGAGGACTCAACTTGTTCCCTCAGTAATGGTTCAAGCCTCAATCACACTTGTCCAAGAGGTTAGATTAAGCTCATCAACCAAACCAGACTCAAGATATTATGCAGGCCCAGTCATGCCTTTCCTTTGGTTGTTAGACCTTAATGATCATAGACGAACAAGTTGTGACAGGAGGTTTCGTAACCTGACTTAAGCACCCATAAACCTACACCTCATCCTCTCAACCAGAGTTCCTTACAGAATTACGCAGTCTCTGCCATTGTTTTCCTGGGTCATTAAGCATTGGGTTTTTTTAATTATTCGGATTTAGTACCATTATTGCGCATAGACGTTAACACACATAGGCACACAGTCAAGTAAAAGTTCAATGACCAATATGAAATATAATTAGTCAAGCCACTCTATATTTATCTATGCCTATAAAATATGCTTATATATGAGGCAAGATAGAACCGGGCAATCTTCTTGACCAAGTGTTAACGTAAGACTTTTACAAGAATGAGTTACAGCTCTGATGATTTCCATAATATGATGGACGATGGCGCAGTTTATTTTCGCCCGAAACGAGGTAGGATGTCTTGTGGAGAATGTCGACCTGAATGTCGTATTAATACCAAACGGCTGCAGAACAATGGAAATCAGCCGTCATCTTCTCGTGAGATCGACCTTCGAACTCTTCTTCATGTATTTTCATAAAAAATGAAGTTCTCCCCAAGACAAGCCAGACTACCGGGATAAGAATGAATGACATCAAATAGGGTTGGGTTCAATAGCATTGATCAACACAGGACTGAAGACCAAGCTGGTATGGCTTTCATTTTTGCGAAGTGTTATTTTTATCAAAAGAATATATCTGACCTCATTTTTGCAGCATGTGGACGATGGTATGGAGACCCCATGGAACGTACCCAGCACGGCCTAGATACAGCATTCGGCCGGTGATTTGATGAATTCCCAGAAGTTTCTTCGACATCGTTGGTGGAAAACAATATCCTTAGCACTGAGCTTCCGCCCGTTGGAGGCAAAAGAAGTCCATCCGTCGAATAACTTTCGCTGAACACTGTTGGTACCTCTCCTCGGTCTATCCTGGTACATTCCCTCATCGACTATCCTCTTACCGGCTTCCACCCTGCCTAACCTGATCCAGTCCAGAGGTGGGACCTTTTGGGCGGGTTTAACAAGACGTTATCATAATTCCAATAAGAGTCGCCTGCCCCCTCCACCCCACTGCCATAATTGCTAGTCTTATTTGTCCATTTCAGTCTGCACATCACTTTATACAACTACCATATTTTCCCTCCATCCGCTTCTTATCAAACTGGTTGAATGACTTCCCTTGATTCTCTATTGGCATAATTTTACCTTTGCTTCAAGCGAATAGTCGAAGAGTCCTATCTCATCGGATCACAGAAAGCTTGCGTACACCAGCTGCAATAATGCTAATTAATGCCATACCAAGTGCTTAGAGCATAAAAAGCGATAATTAGAATGCGTTTAGGTTGTCGAGGTGATTTAAGGGTTGAGTTTACCTACAACCTCAGGATGCCATTGAATTTCATTTAGCTTTGCCTCGCAAAAGGCTATCTCATCCCGGCTTCAAAGCCAGCCAGCCACGCCACATCCAAACTACATTTCATACTGGTATTGCCGATGCAGCAAGCAACTGTTCACTATTGCAATATACGACACTACTTATTTTCCATATAAGTAGGCTTCGAGCATAGGCTACACTGAAGGCGAGTTGGCCGAGGCACACTGCACCGACAGGGCTGCAAGTGACCTTCGTAATGGCTGCAACCAATGGCCTTTAGGCGAAGCTTCAGGAGAGCATACCGAGAGCTTTCAGTCGGTTGTATCACCAAGTTCGCATTGGTTAGTTGGGCAGTGAGATCTTTAGCCTCCTGAAGCGAAGACCAGTCAAAAATCAGGTGACTCGAGTCTTCTCAAGGTTAGGGGCTAGACACATGGACTGTACTAGCCAATGACCTGTTGGAGCCAATCAAGAGCGGGTGTGGGTACAAGCCTGCCGATGGTTAATAGAGCAAATAGCCAATTGGCTAAGCTAGCCTTGACAGATCTGCCGTCGATACAGCTCACGTGGTCTGTCATTTTCAAGCTTGCCTCGCTCGTCTGGCAACCTTCCCTGCTCTCCTCCTACCTTCAGCCCCCTTCAGTCTGTGTCCTCACGCCGATTCCAGTCAGAATTCAGCTCACAACTCGATGGCCGCTCACTTCAGGGCCGAGAAGTCTGGCTTTGCTCGAGAAGTTCAGAAGACGCTTAAGAACAAATTTGATCCTCACACTGCGGCGAAAACGATAACGTGGATCGGTGCCCTGGAGCCGCTGGTACCGAATCTCCCAGCCCACGTGTTGGAGGCAGTCGGCCAGCTTCCCAAAAATGCAGATACCATTGACTCACCCGACTACTTCGCCTACCTCAAGTCGGGCTTTGTGCTGGGCTACCTCATGGCCTGTCTGGACGAGGCGCGTGGAAAACAATTGACCAAAGACAAGGCCTGGACAGTGGCCGTCAATCCCGTCTTCGAGGCGACCAAGCAACGTGAGCGAATCGGCCTCTTCCTTAACTTCGCCCGAGCCTATGGCGTCAGTTCAGCGTGTCTCTTTCAGACGGACCAACTGTACGAGAGCACCGATCTTGCTCAAGTCATCATCTGCCTGGCCTCTCTGGGCAGTGAAGCGCAGGCCAAGCCCGATTACCGAGGGCCCGAGAAGTTCTGGATACAGAAGCATCGTGAAAACAGGCGCCTCTTCACGGAGGAGCAGATGAGCGACGGTCGCAAGGCAATCGGCCTCATGAATGCCAATCTCCTGGACTCCACAAAAGTGAACATCGGCGCCCGCAGACACATAACCGGCATGCATTGAGTCTGCCGGATGTGGCCAGTCGTGCGGTTCTATCGTGCCCGAGGACATTGCGACTGTGAAGGCCCGTGTTTACAGCAGCTACCTCCGGAGAATCTCCAAATGTAGCGCGGAGAAGCACTAGGCTTTCCGGAACTCAACAAGACAGCACTCACATCAACTCACGGACGCCTAGACCGGCACATGGCGGCTTGGCATCCGGACCGGCAACCGCTTCTCCACCTTTTCCGCAGCATGCACTTTGATTATCGTCACCGCAATCGAGTGGGCCTCCCATAGAATGCTTAAACTCTATTGTCCATGCAATTCTTTATTATCTCACTGCTGCCTCATGAGGACGTGTGCATTCACACTTTTGTTTCTACCTGCCTTCCGTCTGTGCCCGGCTTTACAATCCTACCTTAACGCAGCGCCCCCGCTTGTACAGTGAAACAGACTTCTTTGTTTCATTGAAGTCGAATGCCCGGTCTTGGTTCGGCCTAAATCTCACGCTCTGAAACTTGCACTATTCCTGCCCGCCCCACCCGCTTTCGGGCCTCTGCCTGGCCGAGTTGGCCCCACAATAAACACTGGAGACAGTGGCCGCTCACGTCTATATCATGTCTGGCTCTGACTTTAGCTCTTGCCCTCAGTTTTGCTCTCTCATTGTTGGTTAACAAGATTATCTGCTCCTGATCATATAGCCTTATTCAACCAATCGGCAGCACAAACGCCAAAAGTGTACAACTCGTCCACGACCATCTTTTTTGCATTATTATATTCAAGCTTAACCACAACATGTGGGCATGATGCATCCCCTAAAGTGAATCTGAAATCCTGTTTGCTCTTTATTGAGTGAGGCTATCTAAATTTTGTTATCTTCATTCACATACATTATTTGCGAGCTTTGCCTGCCATGGGAATGGAGCAACTAGCCAAGTCGCTCACAGGTCATCACATCAATTACCGCGTTGCTCGCATTATTTAAGTCGGGATTGGTGAGCATTTCTCAACCTCACCAGGCAAGATCGGCACCGATAATGCGCTCGCCCTCCGGGGCAGCTGTGCGTGTTTACTCCAAGTGGTCATATGACTTGGTTTGACTAGGCAGTTAGTCTATCCACCCTGGAAACAGAGGATTGGATGCTGTGCGTATGGAGATTAACGCTTTACGCATGATGCTCAAGTGCCGCCAAAATCAGTAATATAATATACAAGTATTAAATGTCTATAAAACAAAGTCCTCGAGCCCGTGTTTTTCGCAGGTATATGGTGTGGTGTGATTAAAAGATCTCGTTTGGTTTGGGTCTGACCAGCTGACTCGGAACATATGCTTGTATATTTCATTTGCTATGTACACTTTCCATAGCCACTCTTGATCCAGTACGCTGATATCGAGGCATTCTGCATAATTGGATTGCTTAGTTTATGCTTTGAATGGAGAGGTTCGAAGTAGGCCGATGACTGCCTCTGCCAGTTTTTCATCCTTAATTGATGGTGGCTTCAGATCGAGCATTGCATTTGCACCGCCCTTCAATCCGGTGGGTTCGAATTTGGCTTGTGGCTGTCAACCAACCGACCATTCGTAAACTCAGTCCACTCCCACATTAAAACGGAAAAACTCGTTCTGCGCCCCCAATTTGTGTCTAGAGTCTTCCGCAAATGGTCTATCCAGCTATTAGGCCACTGAGTAATTCTGTCTAAATTTGCCCCGTACTTTAGGTTGATGTGACATATTATAAACTATTCTACCAAATTGTCGTCTCCATTGATTACAGATGTTCTGTCTAATCTAATCTTGAAGAGCCCAAGTGGGAAAAAGAGGCCTCTCTTTTCTCTTTAACTCGTGCAAACTCCGGATGTTGCGTTTTCCTATTCTAATGAACCTCATCTACTTCGACTAGCTAATTAACCTGTTTTATTCAATTTTATTGTGTTCTTGCTAATTGTCACGAAATTCTTCCTGAATGTTCATATCTGCAAAAACATTTCAGTTAGGAAATAATGTGCTGAGGACTAGAAGTTTGTGAAAGCTTGCCTTCAGGAGCTTGATTTCAGTTGGCGTGGGTCACTTTCGACTGACCTTTATGATGGAATGATAGCCGACATTCCCTCGATGAATCGGATAACATACTCGGCATAAAGGGTTCGACTTTGGTCCCGCAACTCCGTCATGTTGTCAGGAGGCCCCCAAAATGAAGAATAAACCATCTTGGCCTTTGTACTTTCGGTCAAAAGGGTGAAGATGCTGACCAGACAGAGGCTAGCTCTAAACTGTTGTCCATCCTGAGCGAGAATACCTTCATTTTTTACGACCGAGAGTGTCTACATATCCTTTTCAATGATGGCTCTCACTAGAAAGTAAACCGTTTTTAATCCGCCCACCGGGTTTTCCTTTTACTTCGATACACTATTGACTGTGTTGTTGGTTACGGTGGCTTTCATAAATCCTAAACTGTTGGCTTCATATAAACATTATTTCCAAACATACCCTCTTCTTTGATGATCAGAGCGTCCAAATAGGGTAAGGACCTATTCTCTTGTATTTTCAATTTAAACTTAATAATACATGGATGAGTATTGTGTTGTTTCGCGGTAAGGAAAGCTTGGATAGTTTCCTGCCTTCACTTAACCAATATGAAAGGAACGGTTCTCAGGGAAACTACGACACTTTATTCAGGTGTATCCAGTTTTGGAGAGAAAGTTGAGTCGTTATCCAGATCAGGTTGCTATAGTACAATGTCCTCATGTGGTCGCTTTTATGTTGCGGAGACTTGTCATCACATTCGACAAGGGTAGCTGAGTACGAAAGCACCTGTAGAGGCTGATGGGCTCGAAAATCAGAGCTAGCTGAGCACACGGCAAAAACTGAACATGAGCTTGAATGGTCTCAAGCTTTTCGTTTCGCTAATTATGGTATTTTTCGTCTTCTCTTGTATATCATTATGGTATGTCTGCGGCTAGAAGGGCCATCAAAGTAAACCGAATATGCAATACTTTGGATGTAGGGAAACCTGTAAGAAGTTAAATGAAAATTATGTGAGCATAGTTTTGGTTCGACCTTGTTTTCGCAACTTGGTCGGAGCGTCAGAGAAACAGAGTGGAACGCACCCAGTTCCGTGTCCTCTTCCATAGTATTCGTGATATCCAGCATTGGACTATTGGCTTTGTACATTCCCAAACATTTTGCCGCC